TGCACCTCTACTTCCCACTTTGGGGGCCTATAATACACTCCCAGTAAAATAGCTGCCCCCTTAATATTCCTAAGGTCTACCCATAAAGCCTCGTTTGAGGAGCCTTCCAAGGTATCATCTCTCCTTATTGCAATAAATTGACTTAATTGTGCTAAGCCACCACCCTTTTTTACCCCCTCCTCTATCTCACCTGTATCTCAATGTTGAGTTGCCAGTCCAGCCCTTCTGTCAATCATGTTTCTGTGATGGCAACAATATACTTTCATGTGTAATTCTCACATTACTGTGTTTTAGAAGTGCTGTCTCCTAATTTCTTTCACAGCTCCCCAAAATCTGTAGACTTAAAGTGTTGGTACCAACATGGACCATGATGTCTGGGCGCCCACTCTCCCTGGAAGAATGCCCTCGCGCTGCTCCATGATATTAGGGATGCATCAAACCACTAAGACTCACATCTATGGCCAGAGAGACACCAGTCAGTCCCCCAAACTGTTGAATCCCCTATCACCATTGCTCTTTCTTTCTTCTTCCTCCCTTCCTGTATAGCCGAGCCTCTGTGGTGTCACAGACCTGAATCTGACTGCACTCCCCTAGGGAAGTAACACCCTCACCAGTATCCAAAACAGAAACCGATTTGCAAACAGGATCGCAGGGCGTTCCTGCCCTACCCATCTGGTTCTCTTAGGCTGCGTGGTGATCACTCATTTCCTTTCTCCTCCATGCTCCTAACCCTCAGCGTGGCACCTCTCTCTATATGTTATCCACATGGCTCTCAGCTTCAGCGATGCACCACAGTAACTCGAGCCACTGTTTGAGCTCTGAAAGCTGCAGTTCACTTGCTGAACCTGGGATTGTCTGGGCCACCAATCACGCCCATGACTTCCCACATATTACAGGACATGCAATCCACCTGACCAATGTGCCCTGCCACATCTCAACTTTATTTCACTTACATGAACCTTCATTTTATAGAAATATATGTATTTCTTTATTTTACGTGGTGTTAGTTTAAATTTTACTTCCCTACTGTTTGTGTTTCTAAGTAGCCACTTTAAAAAAAAATTTCTAATTTTCAGTTATTTAAAGATACTTGCTAACAGCAGTTTCTCACCAACCAATGAATTAACAGTTTGTCTGTGATGTTGGTCTTTGATTTTTTTTATCCCCTCAAACTCAGCCAGCTCGAGTAGATGGTGCCTCTCGCAGATCCAGTTCTCTCCACTCTAAAAGGTAACACTCGGATTCTATTTCCCTGCGAGGGCTCCTTTTACTTAATCCAAATGTAAACCCCTTTCCCAAAAATTTCACAAAGCTGAACTCCTGATGGCCCCCTGTACTCTACCATCAGCTTTCCCACTCCTGTTCGCCTGGAGGCTGACAAAGTTAATTAAAGAAAGGGGCAATGCACTCCCCTCACAAAACTTCCTTACCTATGAAACTCTCAGGCTTACACACACTAAGTATCAGTAGACGGAGATAATACATCCCATGGGTATTGACTCATCTTCTGCTATTCCAGGCCAATAACCTAAACACTCCAAGCTTTCTGTATTAATAGTGTTACCAATGAACTGAGAAAGTTAAGAGTGAAAACACCCGAGAGTGGATATGGATTTATTTTTGTTCTAAGGATTTGGATAAAGTTGGATAATTACAGAATGTCTCAGGCATTCAGCAATGGTGTGGACTCAGGACATCTCATTTTAAGGGAACTCTCAGAAAATAAAAAAGTGCTCAAACAAATTTGACAATTTCAGCTCCCCCGGCATTTAAAGATATGGCAAGTTTTACAAACCACTGTTTAGAATATCAGTGAAACAAATAAGACACACGGGCCTTTCAGATGCTGCTTACCAATTTAGTCCTTTAAAAGATGAAAAAGTTGTTTAGGAGTACTGTGCATAATTTGATTTCTAATAACGGGTACTGGGAGCAGACAGTCTTTCCTACATCAGTCAGTCTTTATCACCTTGCAGTGGCTGTTTGTTTTTCATTAGCAACATTTCAGAAACAAATAAACTAGATATTAAAAGAGATAAGACCTTTTATTTCCCAATAGTTGAAGGAACTACACAATACTGTTCTGTTGGGAGTTCAAGGTAACATAAACATGGTTCTATCCCCCAGCATGGATTAGTGAAACTGTTCTATATGTCATCAAAAAATATACAGCAGAATACTGGTGTGATGAACCAGATCATTGTTGGTTCACCTTGCTTAGTTGATATCACTATCAATGGTGCTTTTTGTAAAGCCGGACCATTTACTTTCAGCATTCCAAAGGTTACGATAAGGTTTAACTATTAATCTAAACAAACGCACATTCGGTCAAAGGTAATAGGCTTGGTAACAGGATGATGAGCCCTGTTGTATCCAAGCCACAGGAAACAAACAGTACATCCTATCTCCAGGAAACAGCTGCAATATTAGTTCATCACAGGTTCCAGTAGAGTGTTCAATGCCTACTTTTATACTTGGAGGTTTTAACACAAACATCCATGTGCTGTCCATGAAGATAAGGCAGATCTAATGCTTAATGCCTTGCCTTAAGTGAGGTAGTTAATATCAACTGTGGTAATATGGGGGTGGGGTTCGCATTTTGAGGACAATGTTCACTTTGACCATATTTGAGTGGAATTCATCAGTAGAAGATTCCCCATTTATCACATACCCCCTGTCTAATTTTACTTTTCACCGAATGGAGTGGTCAACAAAATGTACAGTTAGTCCATTTTCTGGATGCAAGCAGAGTGAAAATTAGCCACTTTATCCCAGTGCGAATGGTTAAAGAAAATAAAGAATTAGTTAGGCTACCAGACCAGTACATGTGATCCTAGTATTTAAACAAAATCTTTCATCACGACATACAGGAGATGTATATTAAAGCTAGATAAGCCGAGTCTGCAGAATGTCACCATCTTGTGATGAATGACACATCAACAGCCTAATGTGCTGGATCCTGCCTGTTCATCTTGAAGGAGCCAGTCAGTTGCCAGAGATTTCTACTTGGATAAAATTGTCAGTCTAATTGACAACTTCACTGTCCAGCCCCTCTACCTGGAGCAGTGACAGATCAAGCCTTCATTTTTCTGTTCCATAGAGGAAACAACCACTGATAGTTAGTTAATAATTTTAGATTTTATTAAGCACATACAAAATATTACTTGGCAAATTAATATGGATAGTGTAGTGTGGTTTATTTTCTTTTAAGCAAAAGCTACCAAAATTACATAATGAACAAGATTTATTTCAACTAATTTGTGCTATGATCATTTGTAACTGTAAAATAAAGCAACTTATAGCTGGCAGTGTCTTGCTAATGTGTTCGTTAACTAGAACTAGGAAGGTTAGAGGGCAAGATAGTGGTTAGCATCCCATATAATAAAATGGTTACACACTATGATACTATACACAAGTGAGTTCAGGCAAAGTCTTGATCTTAAGGAATGAAAATGCTTTTTACTCAGAAACCAATATCTCGAGTACAGATATGTACAAGACAAACTCCCCATGAGGAACTCCTGTAGCACTGCCCATTATGTCTCCTAAAACCTGCAGGGAGCAATTTTAGCCAAAGTTTGAATCAAACTTGGAAGGATAGGGGAGCAGATAATTACAGCAATTTTGGCAATTGTGCAGATCCTACAGGCGCTGGTTTCATAAACCAAAGTATAATTACAAAAACTCAACACAATCAAGGGGTCTGACAGTCAAGTAGTTTTTGTTTGCCTCATTGCTTTAATTTTAAATTATTATCTAATCCACCCAGTTCCCCTATCTGTGATTTGAACTAGTGTCGACTTTAATCACATGATGCTTCCTGATGGACTGTTGTCAGTAAAGGAACCAGGGTGTTCACAATACACCTTCGTACATAAATGTTCATTAAAGCCCCAAATAGGGCAGAGGGGAATCTCTTCTCCAAACAGTGCCCCATTTAAATTGATGCTCAGTGACTCAATTTGGAGAAAGCTCACAATATCCAGTTCTTGAATATAATTATAAACATACTCATTCCGTTGAAAGAATCAAATACGTGCCATTGTTCTTTCAACTGAATTATTTTTTCAGCGGATCTGGCTGAACATCTGCACCTTTTAAATAGTGCATATCAGTCACTGATAGGAAAACCTTCACACTATGATGCAACATCCTCCGAATCCCACCACAGTGCGTGACATTTGACTTGTGTCTTCAGTCACCTGCACTTTAATTATAATCAGTAGCACGTTTGAAATGCCAGTCACTGCCTCACACAGCTTACTGTGCTACACTGATCTGCCTCCTTTACCAGCACTGTTTACAATCAGAGAAATACAGTATGTACTATCTGCACAAGCAGTTCATACGGTAACTAGCCGGGCTGACAGACGTACAAGATACATGTTTTGTTGTGTTCTAAACATCGGTAATTCAATCATACTCTTAATTTTAAAGATTATCACAAGTTTGCAGCTGAGAGGATGCTAACTTGGTTGTTGCAGTAACTGATCTAAAAGTTACTTTGCTCCAGGATGCACAGTGAGATCAACTGACCCGTGCTTTAAAATGGGCTACAAAATTAAAATTTCAAGTGCCGATGAGGAAGTAAACAGAATTGGGTACCCAAAGACTGCATTGGCTGCAATGTCCCAAAATTTAAAACATTTGTCCAACAACTGCCCCAATGATGCTCATCACAGCTACAGGATAATGGACTCAACACATCCCCAGAGAGAAAGCAACAAACTTTAACAGGACTACAGCCAAATCGTACCTAATGACAAATCCAACAGTTACATGCAGCTGACCAGAATAACTGGTCACCTCGAGTCAAGGGTTAGGGTTATAGTGCATACTGCTGTGTAGGAGTAAGAGGCCAGAGTGATCGAGAAATTTAAATGGTGGCATACGACAGTGAAACACAAAACAATGCGCCATTACAAAAGGTGGACCCCAGTCAACTCATTTCATAATCCAGCTGTCAAACTATATCAGCTTGAAATTATAACCCTACTTACTTTTCTTGAAGCCCAGGTGAGGTATTCTGGCGATGGGAGTGTTGCGATCACACATGAAATTATGCAGAGCCTTCAGGAAGCATTGCTCTGCAGAAAGGAGGTCATTTTGATCAGCTGGCTGATCTGCTTGTGCACTTGCAGCTGCCATCGTTTCTGATCCAACTTTGTTCTGGAAGGAAAAATAATCACACAATAAATTCAAGAGAAAAAAGGACAGAATTATCCTGTCTGAAGAATGCCATGGTAATAGGGAAGGGTTTTGCAGTCTGGAATGTCTCAACTTCTGACAGACTCTTACTCAATAATATGGCAACCTATCTGGAATAAGGGCGTTGTGGTGCTAAGTGGGTTGACTATCCAGATTCTCCTAAGGAAAGGCATTCATGTAAACCTCGTGTTACTCAGTGGTTTTACTAACGGGATCTTATGATTTGATTTATCTAGCTGCCCTCCACAGAATGGTAAACAGGCACCAACTCTGCAGAGGTTCAGACATGGTTCAACGATTTATGCCAAATTACTTGCAGTAACACTCATGGCGTAACTAGAACCAACCAAATATTTTTAAAGGTCAATCAATGTGTAGAAGCTGAAGGAATGTACAAAATAAAACGTTAACTGCTTGTACAGCCACTGTATAATTGGCCTGTCAAATATGGGTCAACACATGGTGCTAGAGCCAATACGGAGGAGGCAGAGTATTACATTCTACCATCCAGCTCTATAGGGAAATCCAGACGATGTTCCCCCAGCAGATCTCAACTTCGATTAAACGGACACATGGAAGTTCATGCAACAGATTTAAGGATAGTTCAGTTAATCTTTTTCCTTCCAAGTAAAATTTTCATTCAAGTTGAATTAAATGGGAAAAAATGTCAGGGGTACAGCACGCTATCTGGCAGGGTTGGGACAGGAGGTCAATGGGGATCAGAGTCTAGCACTGAGATCCTTTACAGTACAAGAGAGAAAGAAATCCAAGATGGTGCCAGCATGATAGGTAGGAGCCTGTCTGCTCCAGGCCAGTGACATTGTTTTTTCTATCTACGTTTTGTCTTCTTTCATCATCTTCGAGGCCAGAGTGGCATCAGTGGCAGTGGCTGCAGCGTCGGGGCCAGGGACAGAGCCCAGACTCTGGGCGGCGTCAGCAAGGCAGTAGCAGCAGCAGAGCTGGGGTCCCCTGGGGCATTGACACGGTCATTGCTGTTCCTGGAGCAGGGCTCCTGGAGGACCAGAATACCTCGCAGAAGTCCTGAAGCTGCACTTGAGACCCCAATTTGAACAGAAGACAAACTCTTATTTAAGTAATTTCTTTTTATCCTTAGTGTAACTCAAGATGGCACGGATTGTGGCAACAAAACACTTCTCACTATATCTTCAAGTTCTATGTTACAACTAGTCATTCAACAAATGAAAAAAAAAAAATCATTCATTCAAAATGAAGGCAAATAAAATCAGATATGATTTATGTCCTTAAAAGCAGCTGGTATTTCAAACCTGTCCAAAGTCATGGAACAAAGAAAGACCTGTTCTGCAATCATTACACCACCTATTTTCCTGTAAGGTCAATCGAGGAACGTATGACCCAGCAATGTATAATAACAGGAAATGTAAATTGTAGAATTCAATTATTTATTCACCCAGCTCTTATTCCCTCAAGGCTCAATATTTTGTCACTTCTCAGCATTGTGCAACATTTAATATCTGGGCATGGTTGAAACAGCAACAATACTACTTGGCTGCAGAAGGCTTTGTGGTCAAATCCAGATCTGCCCCAACAAGGGGAACAGAGCATTCACTCAACCCTGAAAAAAATACATCAGACAACTACTCTATGGCTCCACCTCACCCGCTTTCTCAGGTCTCGGATTCACTCCCTGCCTCAGCTGGCCTCAAGCCTCCTTTTAATTAATGCCCACTCTCTTTTTGTTTAGAAATCACTCAAAAAGGTGTGGGGATTACTGACAAGGGCAGCATTCAATGGCCACTTTCAATTGAGAAGCAGTAGCGAGCTGCATCAGGGTGTAGGCACACCCACAGTGCCATTAGGCAAGGAGTTCCTGAATTTGACCCAATGACAATAAATAAATGGCAACACATTTCTAAGTCAGGATGGTGTATATGAGTAAAAGGGGAAACATCACTGCCTGGAATTTACATAGACCAACCATCCTTGCTCTTCTAGGCAGTGGAGAATACAGGTTTGGAAGGTGCTGTTAAAGAACCCTTGGTGAGTTTCTGTAGTGTATTTTGTATACGGTCAATGATTGAAGGGAGTGAATGTTTAATGTTGTGGATGGAGTGCCAATCAAGCAAGCTTCAGCATTCACCAGGAAAATATAACTCCAAGAAGCAAAAGGACATTCTTGTAGAGCTGTAGGTCAAGTTGATGGCTGCAGAGTATCCTGCCTTTGGCCCCCTCTTGTAGTCACAAGGAAACAAGTATAGAACTGATTCAACAGGAGGAATTTATCCTATATTAGTTGACGCAACTTCTAAATGTCATAAAGAACCTTTCCAGCTCTGAAACATTTCAATGCGACTCAAAATATGAGCTCAGTTACTCTTTCCATAGATTCTGCCAGAGTGGAATATTTCAGCATCTCCAGTATTTTGATATGAGATGTAAAATTATTATAAAATACATATGAGGCAACAATAGCATCAGAACGATCATGTGAAGATGCACCATTGGAAATCCACACTGATCTTCCAATTTATACACAGTGGTGGAAGATGCTGACACCAAGTTTAAATACTGTATGACATGCATCTTGTTTAATAATCTCAATTCATGACCAATAGCGATGGACTTCCCCTTCATGTTATTAACTCAGTACATGTTTTCCTCAGACACAATTTCAACTTGGAAAAACAAACTCTAGAAATGCAAGACAGGGATTCATGTAGATACAGCATGAAAACACCATGCACTTCAGAAAGTATCTGACTTAAAATGCAGTTAAAAATACATTAATTGCTCATTTTCCTGCTCAGTTCCAAGAGCAAAACATTTAACAGTGTAACCTGTCCATCAAGACTATCAACTTCATCACTAAAATACTTTCTGGAGGCACCCATTAGGTGAAGGGGGCAGTACTAATCACCAACAAAAAAAAAACCAAGCCAAAACCTCAAAAGGTCATTTTAATTGGAATTATTCAATAACATTCCTGGGTTTGGTGATGTACTCCAGCAATCCCCTCCAGCCTTTGATCTCCAATGCTCATGGTGCTTCCTAGTGGATACCCTACAGGGAGCAATCCCGCAAGAGGTCATCTACCAAAACCTCTCTGCACCGCAAATAGATTCTCTGTCTTTGTCATACTGCTGCTGAAATTTCTCTTATGTCACTCCTAAAGTTAGTTTTCCAAATATAATTTGCTGGCTTTCCACCATTTGTATCCTATCCAATTCTGCTGGCTTCTGTATCATAAGACACAAGACACAGAAGCACAAGAAGGTCATTCTTCCAATCAAGTCCATCCATCACTCAACGAGATCATAACTGAATGGATAATCTTCAATTCTATTCTCCATTACAGCCTAGCTGCTCTCAAAATAACTTTCTGCTCTCCTTAAATCAATGAAGTCTTCAGCTACCTTGCACCTAAACTCTGGAATTCCCCTTCCTCAGATCTAGCTCCAAACTTTGAGAGCCCTTAAGACACTTTGTTAATTTAATACATAGAAGTTGCTGCTGAGCCCTTCACAAAATCATCCAGCAAGAAGGAATTTGTATCTTTATTGCACCCTTTATACCCTCATAACATCCCCAAGATCTTTATGGCACTAATACACTTTCTGTTTATGTGAAGTCACTGGTGTCTTGTAGTAGTCATTATGTTGGTCAAGTGATAAATCGATGTTATTTCATCAGGAGAATTCACATGATATGTATTCAAGTAATACAACAAGATTTTCAAAATCCATTCAGCAGGCAACTAGTGTCTTGGGTTAACATCTCACTGAAACGATGGTCCCTGTCAAGGCTCTACCACTGCAATCCTGCACTGGAAACTACCAGTCTAGAGTCCATTGTATTCAGACGTAGGTATAATAACGCTACCACATTTAACACCGGTTAAACCAATTTCTTTCTCCCAAAGATGAGATCTTATCTGTTATAAAATCTTACAATCCCCACAGTGCAGATAGAGGCCATTTGGTGCACCAAATCTGCACAGACCCTCTTAAGAGATCCATCTTTATCCCTGTAACCCTACATTTACTGCAGTTAACCCACCTAACCTGTACACTGCAGGCAAATTAGCGTGGCCAATCTACCCTAGCCTGCACAGGACCATGGGAGGAAACCAGAGTACCTGGGGGAAACCCACGCAGACACAGGGAGAATGTGCAAACTCCACACAGACAGTCACCCAAGGGTGGAATCAAACCCGGGTCCCTGGCGCTGTGAGGCAGCAGTGCTAACCACTGAGCCACATTAAGTTGACGCATAATACCTGGTCTACCACAAAAATCAAGATGTAAACACTGAAACTAAGATTCAAATTCTTGAAACACAGTATTGACACACAGGCATTCATTATTCATTCAGTGATGGAAACAGCAAAACCACCCTCTTATAACTCTTCCAGATTGCGCCACAGGAAGATCACTAACGCATTCCGTGCTGTAACAGAAATTTATTTCAGCGTATCTAGGCATGGCTTGGTAAATGGTAGTTGACCAAACAACAATTAATCTCCTTACACCTGTACGGAAAAGATCAAAGGGATTAAAAACTAGATCTCTTTCGGTCAAGGTGGTTCCAAGATGATACACCTCCGACAGAGGATCAGAACCAAATTAACCGTCTATGACAGATTCAATAATCCAATAACTCAAGTTAGGCAGGTTTACAATAAATAGATTACTGTTACCTCTGGACCATGTAATGAACCACCCATGCAGTTTTCAAAAAGCTTAGTTTTTGGAGACAATCCCATGGCCGAAAGCAAAACAAAATTAAGTCAACTCTGGCAAAGGAATTTGCAATTTAATTTTTCTGACGGAGAAGCAACCTGGGTAACTAAGAAATGTCAACAGCAGCTAACTCAGGCAGAGGTCTTAGTTTCAGCTGCAGAAGAACTTACACAGAATACCTAGTGCTCAGGAGAAGTAACCAATAGAGGTACATTTTCTGTTTGGCAGTAAAAAGAACATAGAACTCTTGCTGAAGTGATGGGGCAGCCACATCACTAAAAAAGGTGACTGTAACCTAAATAGCTCAGGCATACAATAGAGCTGAGAGTTTTACCAGGAACGACCAAACCATAAAGTGGGACTTTTAAAAAGAAGCTCTGAAAGGCTATATCATCAGGACTATCGTAACCCTGGGGGAGGGAGAGTTTGTACAAGTACACCTGGTTTGGTTTTAATTACATCCAGATACCTTGGTTAAATGTGTTCAAAAAGTCAGAACTGGAATCTTTCAAATGAAATATTAAACCAACACCCTCTTAGACAGAGACAAAATATCCCGCAACATTTCAAGGAAGGCAGCTGAATTCTTCATGGTATGCTGCCCAATAATTATCTTTCCATCAACATTAGTAAGACAGATTGCCCAGTCATTATCCACTGTGTTTGTGTGGCTGCCGTATATCCAAATTCCAACAGCGATGACCCTTCAATTTCTGTGGAGAACGGTGGGGCATCCCATAAACACTACTGCATCATAAAGTATTTATTTGCCTGATTAGTTTGCATCATCCTTGTCAAGGCACCGAGCTATCATCATTTCCTAGCCACCTGAAATACGACAAATCCAATATCAGAAATAGTCAACACGATGTACGGCACTAAAACAAATCTGATCAGCTAAGGTTCTAAGTGAATGGTTTCATCACAAACAAATAGTAGAGCATCTATCAGTAGAGACACCAGCATGTGGGGTCAAGGTCTTAATTTGCAAACAAGACAGAATATCATGAACCAAGCCCCTACAGAGGGGAGGTGAAAATTCTCCAACAATGGGCCATTTTACTAACCTTTTCTTCCTTGACATCCAATTGGCTGGGCCATTGGTTCTCCCGTGACAAGCTCTCGTCACTCTTTCTGCATGTCGATTTCTTCTTTATTCGAGATCGTCCTTTGATATGGGCTGCTGCCAGGAAGCATAAAGACGCACAAAAGTATCAGTGACAACTCGCTGCTTGTATCTTTCGATCATTGGCCCCGAGGTGAAGCACAGGATTTCCACACACCTCCCCACCACTGCGCACCCCCCCCACCCCGCCCCATTTTATTTCCCCAAATATGGGTTTTGGCTTGGGTCCAGCTAAATGTATCCAAATGACTGCTGAACAAGGCAACGACATTTGCTTGATATTTCCCCCCCTCCCCCACCCCCCAACTTTGTATTTTTTTGTGGTGTGAAATGTAATTTCAATACTTAAAACAAAAATCACAGTTCAACAAACCGTCCTCAGGCCATTTACCAGGTATTCGTAGAATTATGGAATAACAGGAAGTCAATAAAATGTGAACAGTGCCAACACACTGAACCATCTCGTTGCACATTATCAAACAAGTTCCGATATATGCGCTAACATCAAGTTTAAGCATTCAGTCCCAAATTCAGCCCACCCTGCCATGAGCTAACAAACAACAATAGCCACCATGGAAGTTGTCAGAAAGACTGGGAATTAAAGCCTTCTTTTGGGGTTGCTTAATTCAAATTTTGATTCTGTTACGACAATGAAATGCAAAAAAAAAATGAGTACATGCAAACATTGACCCTTATCTACACTCCAGTCAGTATCAGTCTGTCGACATATGCACTCTGCCCATGACCACCCCCACTGCCTTTGTCCCTCATGGCTGAATGCCTGACTGCAAGCTGTACGTTTATATGGGTCAGTTTGTGCAGCAAAAGTAATTTAATTCAAATGGCAAACAGAAAACCCTCACTCTCATAACCAGTTATATTTCATTTAAGTATGTCAAAATGCGAGGGGACAGAAAAGTAAATAATCACGATAAAAATCTGCATCAAATCATACACAAAAATGCTGCCAATATCATTCTGCTTCTGTACTTCCAACCATCTTCAGCAATTATGATTCCACTTCCAAGTAACTATTTATCATTCCAATACCATTAAAAACAAATTTGAGTCATTTGGAAACCACAGAACAGTGATTATAGAGGTTACGTATTCATTTCTGCGTACTTGGAATTTGTAATTAATCTTGCATCACTCCCCATCTTTTTGCAATAAGATGGTTTTAAGACTCCTTTATGTATTTTGATGCTAAAAATATTTTACACACTTTCTTGTCTTATTTGCAGTTGGTTATTTTTGCAAACTTCCTTTCTGCTATAGCATGATAACTATTCCTTCCTGTAAAAATTGTTCCCCTCACCTCATATTTACTGGGAGAGTTTTAGGTTGTTCTCTTTACATTTGGAATTTCACAACCCTTACGACGTACAACCGACTATGATACTTACAATTTTACATTTGATCAGCCGATGCTGATCAGCCAGAGTCCACGCTGTGCCAATACAAATTCCATTCAGTTCTCAGGAATATTGCCCAGAATAGGGGCTGCTGTAGCAATAGCAGTACGATTAAACAGCACCTGTGAGTAGTTCCTTGTTCCTCAATCTGCTCTTTACTGTCTCATAAGCACTCTAGCCCTGCCCTTGCACACGCTCACTGATATCCTCCCAAATTACATGCACATACTAAAGCAACCAATTGAAATCACCTCTGAAACTGCGACAGATCAGACAAGTCATTTCCAGAACACATCAAACCAATGGCTTCCTGCACATCTCTCAACCAATAAGAACAATTTGTGCTTTTTTTTTCAAAAAAAAAAATTGGCATCTTATCCAAATATTTGGAATGATTTAAAGTTGCTTTATTCCATCCAATAGATCTCTACGCTGTGCCTGACAGAGCGGTGTCATGTTTCCCACTATGTGATCTTGAGGGGGAAAAGTGTGTTTTCAGTCAGGGTTAAATGAACTGTCAAACTGCAGCCATTTACCCATTTTAAATAATTTATTGGCTCTTACAGGAATCCTGGGGCCCTTACGTTATTACCATCACGTTCCATCTAACTTACAGAACCATCCCCAGTCTCTCCGTACCAATTCAAACCAGTTTATTTCCGATCTTAATAACCCATTATTGTATCAGAATGGCTTTACAGTCACAAAGACACTCTCAAATGCTTAAAACTTTAAACACATTACTGTATTCACGAACTTACAAGAATTTGTAATGATTTTAATTAAAAAAACTGAAAGCTAAAATCCAAAATAACACCCTTTCCTTCACAAAAGGGAATCAATGTTCTTCATTTAAACCTTAAGCCCCTCAGTGTAGCTCCTGCGCACAGGGTCAATTCGTCAGTACGAATCAAACCTCACACGTCAGCACTGGTTAACCTAATGACAGTTCATTTTTACTGCATTGAACAAAGGAAACACAGTCTTCAAATGATTTTCTTCAGTCGGAGACTAAAAAACTGGCTTTTAACAAGACGACTCCAGGTACTATGCACTTTAATAATTGTAGGTTGCTCCTCCTGCAGGTAAGTTGAAGGCTCTGCCATCAGCACGAATGGATTGAATTATTAACTTCACTTCAGTGAATGTCGATCATGCACAAATTTCAGGACACTGAATGAGAACAAATTCCAAACCATTTTATCTTCACCCACTATTTGCAGTCTTGCTACATGATGCAGCAGATCGGAGATAAAGTGGAAAGGAACTGAAAATCCAAAATCAACGTATCTAATTCTCCTCACAGGTAACAGCATTCAGTTCACCCAGGTTGGGCCAAGTTGTACAGGCCATTTTCCACAAAGTCAGCTTCCATAAAACAATCCATGATCTTCCAGACAGGCTAGAATGTCAGAAACTTTACCAAAATGTTATCACATAACAATTTCCTACTGACTAAAATATAATCTTCAGAAAATGACTCAGCAGACCTGGGTTGGATTGAACTGCCTTAATTCAACACATTCCTGTGAACATTTGACCAGCAAGTGTTAGTTTTAAGACATGACCATGTGGAATCAACAAGGTACGTGTGAAATGGTCATCAGAACAGACAGACAACCTGGATGCTCTGATGCAACAAGGCATAGGGGAGTAAACAGGCAAATACACACAGTGAGTAACAGCATTTCACAAACCTACACAAAGCTCGATTGATGGTCAGGTAGGTGAGGACACGTTAGTGAGCATTATGGGGCAAAGGCCAAAAAGTTCTCGCTTCTGATTTTTTTGCTGAATTATGTAAAATGTGTTGGGGCAACACAAGTCAGTAGAGAGGTAGAACTACCATTGGGTTCCTGTTTCAATTCCTTAAAACAGATCTATCTTGTTCTATAGATTGGAAGAACATTTCCCAGCGGTCTCCTTGCTGCACAATGATCGAAAGATCCTATTCCCCAAAGGTCCGGCTGCCTTTTCAGTGTCTGCACCCAAAAGTACCAAAATAGCAGATACCAAACAAATAGAGAGAGAGATCCATTCAAAGTGAAGGGGTCCAATTAACAGTAAGTATTTAGGTCACTGGGTTAAACTTTTTTTTTTATAAAAATTGTCCAGAGCTCTAGTATTAGCTAAACGATTCCTTTGCCTTAAAGTGAAAATAAAATACCAGAAACAATTATTTGTAAACAAGGCTGGGCAGCATTGCCTACACATCCTTGGCCATGTGGAAATGCCAAAACATTTTGGAGAAGCTGAATCACAACAGCATCTGATGAGATTTTTTTCTCCAAGAGGCATATTTTAACAGATGCAGCAGTGTTAATGCTGTCTCTCTCAATGGAAGAAATGGACATGGACATTATGACAATAACGAATCCAACAGATGTTTAGTCCGTCTAACTTTTATCCACAAACATTTGGTTATAACAGAGGAACAATGAGGAACGTGTTACCAGTAGCCTGTCATGCTTCTTGGAATCCCAGATAAAAGGAAGCATGAGACCTTTATACCCTCAGGTCAGATTCTTGGGCATGGTGATCAATGTCAATGATCATGTCTCTTAAAAGCACACTAACGTAAGGCCATGAGATAGAACACAACTGCATCACACAGCACATACACGGATCTGAGCGTGTTCAGACACGTGTTTAAAAAGAGGCACACATCTGTAGAATGCGACAGAATGTTCAGCATTACAACACAGCTGACCAGGAGATAGATTAGGCAAAACCAGAATTAGTGCGGAAAACTCTTGGGAGCACATGTCGTCAATAGGGGTAGAAGTTGAGAATTTGACAAGAATGGGAAGAAAGAGCTTTCCACCTCTGGGTCTTTTGTGACTTAAACTCCATTACCACATGCAATAACTGAAAACAATTTAAAATAAATAAGTACCAGATCCTGACTTTTGAAACACCACAATTTATTCTCAAATAGGAGTTTTCTGGTGACACTACACAATGCTCTTGTACTGCTACTTTAATTATATAAAAGTGTACAATCCAATCAGCAGGAACATTCAATGATTTGAGGCGAAATGATTGTCACTAATTCACGAGGAATGATTGTATTTCATTTTTATTATGTATTAGAGATTATTCCTCAGCAACACCTGACAGTCTACAGTAAACACAAAAAATCCATTCAATACAGTACATACATTGTCTCATACATACAAAGGCATCATAAATTTGTTTCTCACTACTCTGCATGAAACATTATTTCAAAAAGAAAATAAAGACTGAGATAGAACTAGTGACTTTCACAATCTCAGTACATCCTAGCTTTCATGATGTACATTTTGAAAGTAGTCCCTGTTATAATGTAGGAAACACGGCAACCAGTTTCCACATAGCAAACTCCCTCAAACAGCAATGTGACAATAATCTGATCATCAGTTTTTGAGACATTGTTCAGAGATAAGTGTTAGCTAGGATGCAAGTGCTAACATTCTTATTCTTCAGAAAATAGTGACATGGGATCCTGTACACCAACTTCACAGCATGTGTGGATTTTGATCGAACTCTTTTCCAAAAGGACTTTCTCAACACTGCATTTCTGAGTGCGGGAATTCAAAATGGGACTTGAACTCACAAACATCTGACTCAGAGGTGACAGTATTATCAACAGAGCCACAGAGT